GGTAATATGATGTTCAAATCTTTTAAGCTACCAATAGGGATGTTAAATTGTGGAATTTTATTATTGCTGATCATAATTTAAAGGAATTGAGTCATTTGTAAAATTTGGTTTTGCCCTAATTTATTGTATAAATAGGGAACCGCCTCAGATTTTATTATTATCGTCAGAAAGAGAGAGAAATATTAGAGAAAATAGGCGTACGATATTCTCTTATAAACCTTTTTTTTTTTTTGGCATTACAGTAAATTACTGCAGTGGCCGGAGAGGACGTAGTCTTTCATTGAAACGAACCTCTATGAATCTTCCATGTTCTTAAGTGTTTATTTTCTTTCTTAAAATTGATTGCTCTCGGTGGAATTGAATTAAGGTTTATAATTCTCAAAAAGGGTCACAGTATGTCAAAGGGACATAAAAAATTTAATTTTCTTTCAGTAACATACTACAATGAATCGAACTAATTCTTTCAATGAAATAAATTTCTCATCGGTAAATAGCACAAAGGAGTTACTTTCTATTAATATTTATTACATCTACAGTGTAAGTGCAAGTTTGTTATATAGAACTAGATAAAATTGGATGAATGGCATAATAAACAAGATTTAACGAACCATACCCTGGTTTTTTCTATGATAGGTTTGTTTTAGTGATGAATTCTTGAAATCCATGTCTAAGATTCAAGACATTGACATCTGTAAATAGGTCCTTTCTCTTTTGGAGAAGTTTTCAGATGGATGGCGTCAGCTGCACAAACCTGAAATTCTCAGCAACATGGATAGTGCTGCTTCACAACTGTTGGAACTATATGATGTCAAATGGCCATTGAAATTGATTTGAACCATTGACATTCTCCGGGAAAACTCAAGTGACGTTCAAGTTATCAAAGTTTTGGACATTTTGCCAAGTTATGAGATATCAAAATTGGCCAAGAAACTTGATTAGGGAAGTATATGGCTGATCATATAACCCAATGCTTATTCAAGCGCGTTGAACGGTATGTGACTTCTAGTTCTGCTTTTTACATTGATTTTGAGTTGGTTTATTACATTATTTAGGTTGGTGTATAACGAGTTAGAAGAGAGAACGATAGAACAAAACTAACATGACCTGTTCTAGATGACACGAGGTCGTCCCAAAAATTTATAGGCTGTTTGGAATTTTTCTCGGTTCTCATTTTCTGTTGCATGTCATTTTGTTGGAAAAAAGAAACGAGAGTGTGAATTTCTATTAATTAGCCACTTATCACATTGTCATCTGCTGTAGGGACTTGGTACTTCTAATGACTTGGCCAGTAAATACAAATTCTGGAGATGTTCCCTCTGGCAGTGATCCTGTACAAGATGAACTATTGATGCTGAAATTATTCCGCTATTTGACACTTTTAAAAAAGAAAAATAAATTAAAATATGATTCTACTGCCCATAATTGCCTACCAAACATTCCCCCAAGGTTTTTTAATCTTATTTTGTTAAACTTTTCAG